ACTGTGCCATGAGTTCCCTTTGCAACATTGGTGAAGAAAGTCCTCTATGTTTTCCCTCACAAATCATTGCAGATGTACTTATCTAAGATATCTTACCATGCCTGTGGACCATTTTGTGATAAAAAAATACCTGTTGTTTTCCATGCTTCCTTTAAAATTGGTATAAAACCTTTCATATTTATGAATGTTTAATATTTTTCAATTTTCTTAGCTGATGCCTATGTTTATTAAATGATAAACATCCACTGTGGGGAATATTACTGGTTATATCATTTGTGCTTTGGAAATAGAGATAACTGTAGTGGCAGTCTTTTAGTGTATCATCAGAAATAGCTGTGATTTGTGGGTAGGCCTAGCTCATGGCTGGGGATGCTGCATAAACTCTACCACCTAAGAGTGGTTCCCAGAAGTGATGTGACTCAGGCACTGTGCTGAGTCACAAATCCTCCCCTGCTTCCTCCTTGCTTGCAGAAAGTAGTAGTTTTCTTCTGAACTATATTAGCAGAAAAATAATTACCTCCCACACCCTTGGCACTGGCTTAAGTACGAAAATCTGTGTGTGTGTGTGTATCAGGAGGCGGAGGAGGGATGGATGGAGTTGAAAGTCCTCTCCTTTCCCTGTTATTCCTGCTCATTCCCAGAAGGTCATTTGTATGAGACTGTGCCTGTTCATATTCCTGGTTCAGGCAACACTGTGGTGTAGGCAAAATATAGCCCTGAGAAACCAGTGAAGGAGTAGACTCAGGATACGCTTTCTCTGAAGATCTGAACTACTAATATGATGAGAACAGGCAACCACCCTGTCCAGCAAACCAAGTGTGGTCCATAATTGAAGACACGTGAAAATGTGAGATACTGGCTTGGAAAGGCCCAAATGTTTTTTTTGAGACCAACCTACCATTAGTTTCCTTGGATATGTTCCACAGCACAACAATGCCAAGTGCATTTTAGCAGCTGAGTCTGGTGCACTTTTTTTGTGTGTGTGTGTGCCATCTTGCTGAGCATTGGTTGAAATCCAAAAAATCTTGTAAGTACACAATGGGGTATGTAGGTAATCCTATTGCTTTAGGTGCAGACATTTACATGCTTAGAGATAAGCATGTTTTTCAATAACTGCCTGAACTGATGAAACAGCAACCAGCCCCTCTCATGATTGTCTTCCTGAGGAAAAGATGCATCATCGTATAATAGCTCTAAAACACCTGCAGCATCTCTAGCAGTGTATTTTCCATAGCTTTGAGAAAGATAAATGTTGCTTGGTATAAGCTCTTTTCCTTCTTTCTTGCCTATTTCCTGTACTCCCCAGTTGTGCCCTAAACTTTTGGGTCGATGCAGTCCTCTAGAGGCTGAAAAGGGCTTGACCTGGTATAAAAAGCAATGTTGTTCCCCTGTAATAAATATTTAAAATGTTTTATCAGTGTAAATAAATGCAAAATTCTGTGAGCCTAGGGAATGGCATTAACGTGTTTTGCTTACTGAAACGTTTATGGAGTCAGTGTCAGCCAACAGAATGCAGCCAAGAGGGTTTTTTTTAAAGGTAAACTGAAGTGCTTTTAAAATAAATACTAAGAGCTGTTTAAGATCTTCAATTATTAACAGAAGAAAAGCGCAGGCTGAAAACTTGCAAACAATCCTTTTTGTGGCACTTTCCCTAACTTCTGTGCAGTTATCTCTTTGTCCAGCCTGGAGTATGCAAAGATGAAGAGCGTGCATGAGTTGAGACAGAAATTTTTTTTTTTTGTTAGTTCAACTGTCTTTTCTTCCTCTGCACAGGGAAAGCGCGTGTAAAAGTGCGTAGAAGTTCTCACCATTGGTTAGAAAAAGCTTTGTGACTGCGTGTAAGGGGATGATTTGCCTTGATTTACCCTGATCAGAAATGCATCTGATCATCTGCAGACACTGATCTGCATCTTTCAGATTTCAGAAACACAGATTTGATGTGTTTTGAGGCATGTGGGGTTTTTATTTTAAAAGTGTCTCTGTTCTGCCTACCCATGGCTCTCTCCTAATCCTTTAATCCTTCTTTATCTTCTCTCCCTGTTGTCCCCCTTGCTACTACACCAACTTGTCTGATCGTCCAGGCCTGGTTCCTCATGCTCTTCCTTGCAATATTGAATAAATTTCAATTTTTATTTTTTTCAGGGTGTGTTTTTTTTTTATTCTTAACCAAGAATAAAGTAACTTCCTGGTAGCAGCTATATTGCAGCAATAAGCTTGACGACAATGCGGGGAGCATGGTGTGATATGCATATACCCCTTCTACAAATCCTCTGAGAGAACATTTCTAAAGTTGCTGCATAGTTAGCAGTTTAAAACTTTTAGAAACTCTCTGGACACTTTAACAGTAATGTATGTAAGTTTTCTCATTAGTTGAATCATGTAGATTTAAAAACAGACTGCCCTAATGGGGTACTGCACGGCACACGCATCAATTCATGCTAACAGTATTCAAAAGCTCATCTCTTCTTCAAAGTTGGTTTATTATCCTCAGGAAGCTTTTCTCTAATTAAGCTAGCTGAAGCTGCTGTAAATCTTCTGGTGGTACATGTTCCCCTTGACTGTCTAAACACCTTGTCATCTCATGTTTATGGTGCAAGCCTTTGATTTCATTCTTTGTTAACATAAAGGACATTGGTTTGTGCAGATATTGTCTTCTCTGGACTTATGTAATACACTGAAGCACTTTCACAGCATGGGTGATAATGAAACCACATTTAAAATGAGAGCGCTCTTTGTTCATAGTGTCTGTCCTCAGTACCATCTCAAGAGCACTGGATATATCCCATAATGAATATTAAATCAATTAATAATAATAATTAAGGGTAAATTACATAAGACCTGGTATTAGAACTCTTAACCTTGTAATCTTGGCTACATTTTGGATTAACAAGGCTCCTAAAACATTAAAAATGGAGACCTTTATTTGCTTTTGTGTAGATTTATTTGAAGCTACAAATATTTCAATCTGCAAAGTTTGTGGGTTTTTTCCAGGTTCATAGCCATCTGTAGTCTTTTAACTTTCTTGTATTGTATGCTTTTTGGGACAAGGTGGGACATTGTTTTAATTTTCTGGTGAGTGTTACATTCTCAACTGCTGTGAAGTATTGGAATGACGTTGATGTGGACTGCAATTCATTTTCTGAATATGTTTAGAATTAATAGACTGAATGAGGTGAGCATCTAAGGGGAAAGGTTTACTGCCTCACATAATCACAGCAATATTTTTTCCCTGGAGACGTTGCTTATCCAGAGTAAGTACCTAGAGGTAACTGAGCAAGCCAAACAGCCCATTCTTGTATAGGATGAGTTTTGATCCTGTCAGTATTGTACTTCAAGTCAGGATCTCTTTGTGAAAGCCAGAATGTTTCATGTTGAATATCACTCCCTTTGGATAGTAGCATGAACCATTAAGAGAGAACTGAACTGATTGCAGACACCTGAAAAAAATGTTCAGATTAGAAGGATGCTAATAGCCAGCTTTGGATTACTAGCAGGCAGTGACTGAGCTTGCTGGCCTGGCAGCTGATGCCACCTTTGATTGCTTCTGCTGCGTTCCATTGTGGCTGGGGAGCAAATGCAAAGTCTCAGCCTTAGCTGTGAATTGACAAGTGGATTGCCTACAAGTGAAAGTGCTTGTCAAGAGATGTGTCATCCATATTAGAAAGTATTTAAATCAGTTTTAAAAAGTAATAAAAATGAAAATCTAAGATCTTAGATGATAGATTGTAAAAGTTAATAGTTATCACAAACTCTCTTGGCAGATGTATAACAGACATTTACAACTTGTGAATCACATTTTTCAAAAATCACAGCTAATATCAGCTTCTCTGAGGAGATGACAGTATTTGCAGGAGACATTAACAGTTTCTGGCTCTCAGTCATTGCAAAATCATGAGCTCATAATTGTTCTGATCTGGCTATTCATAGTCTATAGAGTTCTAGAGGTCTTTCAATGCTTCTAACATTAATAACTTACTAGTGACAGTGGTTGCCATCACTGCCACCAGTGATAATAACTTTAAGACCTTTGCAAATGCAAATCCTTACTAAAGGCTTATGAGGCTGACTTTGTTGTTCTGGTTTTACAAATGAGGAGAAGGAGGCAGAGAGAGGCCCATGAATCTGCCGCTTGAGCCAACTGCATCTGAGGGTACAGCTGCTTAGTGCTTTGGCAAATTTGGCTGCAAGTAACCTTCCCCAGGCCATTCTGGAAATGTGTGGCTTGCTCATGATTAGGACTTAGACCAGTCTCGTGCCTTAATAACAACCATGTAATATCTTGTTGATACCCCTTTCTAGGGACCTGGACAACCTCTGTTATAGCATGATCCCTAAATCTTGGGGCAAAACCAGCACTGCTGGTTCTGACTCTCCCTCTGTTCAGACTGAAGTAAGGTGAGGTGGATCAGGAATGCAGCAGATCCTAAGAGGACTGGGAGCTCTCAGTCAGTATGGGTTTGGTGGCCCTTCAGCAGCTCAGGCTCTGCCTGATACTGGTCTGACCTCTGGAAGAACCCAGAATCAGAGTAGGAGCATGACTTCGGTTTGCCATCTCTCCCCATGCTCTGGGGTGCAGCTGTCGTACCCCAGCATTTGCCCTCCAGCGTGTCTCACTGTTCTTGTCCTGCTTCAGTTCTGGTTGTTGTTTGTTTTTCTCATGCTTTAACTCTCCTCAAACCTGTCTGGGGAACACCTTAGGCCTGCTTTTCCAGAACAGGCAAAATAACTAATGTCTTCCCTCCCCAGGGTATTAGTATTTTGGTGACAGGTTAAGGTAATACCTGTTTTACTTTAGTCTGTGATCCAGGCTGTGATGGTAAATTTGTGAAATGTCAGGGATCTTCTGGAGGGAGGTGATCTGTAAATGTACATCTTTACATCATCAAGATAATGAGTTCAGGTGAGGGGGAATGAAATAAAAATGACATTACTGTGCAATTTATAGCCTCTCTAAATTTTGTTCTTTTGCTGATAAGTGCTTCCTTCTGTTCTCTCTGCAGGTCTCCAGGTGGTTTTAAATTCAATTATCAAGGCCATGGTCCCTTTGTTGCATATTGCCCTGCTGGTGCTGTTTGTCATTATTATCTATGCCATCATTGGACTGGAGTTATTCATGGGAAAGATGCATAAGACCTGCTACCATGTGCAAGGGGGACTGATAGGTAAGGGGAACGCTGTCATACACATAAAGATTTTCTGAGGGAGGCTTTCCCAATATATATGTAATGGAGCATTTGTGCTGGTACAGAAAACGGGTGGCTGTGGCTCCCTGCTGTGTACCTGTTTGGGGTTTCACAGTGGTGGTTCCTCTCTTCTGCTTCTTGGATATGAATCACCTTTGACGTAGAGAGACTGTCTCTATCGGTGAGAGCTCAGCTTGCTCCTTTTGGGCGCTCAGTTCTTGGCCTGTCTGTAAAGGCTACGTGCAAAACTGTCAATTCCTGCCGAACAGAGTAGCGGACTTTTTAATGGGGACCTTTGGTGCTACAAGACAACCGAGTTCTTTACAAATCTCCCAGAGGCTCAAGCAACACTAAAGTGGTGATGATTTTGCCACTAGCAGACTGAGCTACAAATGAGATGGCAGCATATAAATGAACAGCTCTTATGTTTTATTATTAGTCCTGTACACAAATACATCTTGGTTTTAAACTAGTATCACTGTAAAGGAATTGAGCCCAGTACCCTTTTCTTTTAACCACGGGCTGTGACCATTGTTAGAAGTGCAGCTATTAAGAAAGCAAAATTATATTAATGGGAAGAAACTTTTAGCACCAAATGCGTCAGGAAAGAACTTCCAAATTATTTACAGAAAGAAATATTCAAATTCAAAATAATGCAATTGTATTGTCACTCACTCATCTAATCATTTGCTCTTTTTCATTTGATTTATTGAACTTGAACAGCAGTGATTTCCCATGTGGTTGTGGGTGCCAATGTCTAGGACCCAGTTCAGCTCATAACCAAGAAAATATTGTACAGCAGGAAATTGTTTCAGAAGTTCTGTATTTTCTGCTTATATAATGTTGGCAGATTTCATTTTCTGGAAATACTAGAACTATAATGAATTGTCAGTCTGGTTTACATCTTTAAAGTGTATATATCTTTCTCCATACTGTCTGGAATTATTTACATTACAGCATCTAATTCTAATATTACTGTTTCTGGCACGCTTTAATGATCAGAATGTGATCATAACTTTTGGAAAAATACATTTTTTGCCATATAAGATGAGAAGAAAACATAATTACCTGCTCCCCCACACATGCATACCTGCATCTGTTATAAATGTAGCACTAAACTCTGAAATATACATATTTTAAAAAAAAAAACCTAATTTTTGTGCTTATAAAAATGTTTTATGTAACATTTTTTATATACCAAAGCATTTAGGCAGGTTTGTTGTATGGGTTCTCAGATCTTTGGAAACACCTCTACAGAATAAGGGGTGGATAATCAAGCAGTAGCCTTAACAGAGCTTCTGAGTGGCACCGGGCTATCGATAAAATGCCACGTAGCTTCTAAACTCCGAAAGAGCGGAGCGCCGGAGACTCTGTGCTGTAATTTAGCAGTGGCCCAGCACCATATCAACCTCTCTGCAGAGCACTGAAGCCTGTCTGCTGCAGAGGTTCAGCCTCCTTCAGCGGAGTGCCAGTCAGTGCTGCAGTTCCCTTCCAAGATTAACCCAGATGCCAGGTGACTGCAGTATGAAAACACTGGTCATAACATGCAGACTAAAGAAATCTAGTAGACTTCATCTAATGTTCCCTCTCATGTTGAAAGACATGACTTCTTCCTCATAGGATGGTGTGCTTTAAAAAAAAAAAAAAAGTCCATCTCAGTTTTGACTGTAAAATTTGACAACTTAGCTATTATTTTTACAAAAAGAAAGTGAAGCACAACAAAACATCCCTCTGCCCATTAAATTAATACAGTTGCTTGTGTATTCCTAGAGAAATCTGTCAAATTTGCCGCAAAATGTATTTGTTAAAATTAGATAGCATGCTTATCAGTGTGTCAAATAGCGATTAGTTCTCTTCATCTCCTTTTTCTCCCTCCTCTTCTTTAAGATACACCTGCAGAAGACGATCCGTCTCCCTGTGCCCCCCAGTCTGCGCATGGGCGGCAGTGTCAGAACGGCACGGAGTGCAAGGCAGGCTGGGAGGGACCTAAACACGGCATTACGAACTTTGACAATTTTGCTTTTGCCATGCTGACGGTGTTTCAATGCATCACGATGGAGGGCTGGACAGATGTACTGTACTGGGTACGTATCCGAAAATGATAAGCTGAAAGGCCTGCTCACATGCTTACGGCTACGTTGAAACTTCAGGGCTTTAGCTTTCTTGCTTGTTCTATATAGTGAAGGCATGGTTGCTAGCATGGAGCTCTAATTAACTCAGAATATTAGTGGATAAAATGGGAGGGTTTATCTGGCACAGTTAAACCAAATATAAATGTTGACTTTCCATTGACATGTTGAAAGGTGGCACGAGGCTTATTGATTTGAAGATTTGCAACGTACCTTTGTTGAGTAGAATGTCATGTAAAGACCTTCTCTGCAGGAGTGAAGTATCTCGTACATCTCTGGATTACTTGATGTAGAAGTGTTTGTGACAGATAACTGTGTGCTCTAGTCATGGCATTAAAGTTACAAAGGCACTACGCTGATCAGCCTGTAGGTTCTATAAGAAAGATGTCACAAATCCCTTTTCATGCTAGCGCTACTCCTGATGATGACTTTTATCATGATAGTATTAGAATAAATGCTCTTAACTCTGATATTGGTATTGATCATATTACATGTTTAGCTGAAACATGATATTATATTTAATTTAAATGCAGTCTCATCTTGTCCTTTACCCTAATTCTGGAAGTTTCAGTAGCTTTAGTTTTTACCTTGTAATTCCTAATGTGTTGGGAAATTCAGTGGCAATACAATTATACTATAAGAGTTTAAATCAGATTTAGCCTTCACCTGTAAACCAAATATAAACATGTTTCTGGATTCTGCTCTGGCCATCAACTTTTGCAGCAATGTGCTATGGTCCAGGAATTTAATTCACACACAGCTCAGCTCCATGTGTATAAGGCTAACCTGGACTCTGACTGACTTTGAGGACTGGCATATTATGACACCTCATTTTCCAAGATGGTAGGATGTGCTACAATGCACGATGGAATTTAACTCAAGAAGACCCAAAGGACACAAAAAGATAATCTGGACTGAGGCAGCTTGCACTGTTAATCAACATCAGCTTCTCTCTTAAACGTGAGCCTGAAGCTGCCTTCTACCCACCAGTGAGTTAGAGTTTACAAAATTTCCCTTTGAAGATTTAGCTTATCTGCAATATATAGTCTCTATGTGGAACAGCTAGCAGTTGTCTCTTTATCCTCGTAAATTTAGATTAGAATTGTGACTCTAGCTTCCTTCTAATGCCTGAGATAAAGGGCAAAGATCAAACCACAAGGGGAGTCTGGGTCTCAGAGCACAAAAATTGCCTGTACTTGAAAAGAGGGTATAGATTAATAAAATAATGAAGAACAAAAGTCAGAAAAGGAACTGAGTAAAACTAGTCCTTGGCTCAACTATGGCTATACATAATATACCTGTCTTTTTATCACATTTAGCTCACATTCCTCCATGATTGAGAGGATTTATAGGTAGTTCAGAGTAAATAGGAGAAAGTAAACGATATTGGAAATAAACAAGAAAATAGTTTTGGGAGTGTATACCACTTAGCATTGTGAAATCTATCCATAAGTTATCATCATTTTCTCCAAAGGCACGTGTTATGAAAGACCCTGCCAATCCCCACACTTTTGGGTCCATGCGTCATTTGCATGACTGGATGTGAATCATTCAGAACTCAGTTATCAGTTATCTAATAACAGGAGCCAAAAGCATATACTCACTGCTAAATGATTTTTCTACCATGACTGCTGCAGATGGTTTGATTTTTTTTTTTATTTTTTTTTTATGGCGTCCCTGCAGCAACCTGGATTTTAGCTGTTGGGTTTTTTTGGTATTCAGCCAGCTTTTTTCACTGGTTTCCTGAGCTGTTCTTTTTTCTTTGGAGACAGCATGGTGAACTGAGACTTGAAATTAATACAGATTGATGGTAATTATTTTTAGGGCATCCATATACTTAGCCTTTTAGGTTACGGCTTTGACAGAATGCTTGCTTTGGAAACAAAAGAAATATTTATTTTCATCAGCTGCCAGTTATTCCTAGACAAGATTACAAAAGATAAGAGTTAGCACTACAGATAAAATTTCAGTAATTGAGGAGGAGGAAATTTAGTTTGTGAATTAAAAAACTGTATCACCTCTGTTTAAAGGCCATGAAATACAAAATTTGAGTAAGTACCTGAACACCTGACCTGACAGGCATACTCAGTTAAGCTGCTGTAAACAATCCTAAAAGTTGTCCCGTATGAATTTTTGCCTCTTTGTGTTATATTGACAAGGTGGATAGAAGTCAGCTCTGATCAGTGTTTGCCATATGGTAAAGAAGATATCTGAGATGCGATGCATATTTCCTTCTGCAGAGAGGTCTGTGCTACTCTGGGGGCATATGTTGAATGGGCAATTAACTAGAGGACACACCTATGAGAAGCATTGTGGCTTTAATATTTATATGTAGAAACAATCTCTAAACGTTCACACTGTAATTTCATATGTGGGTGTTTCAAGCCATATCTATTGTCGTTTATACAGTAAGCTTTATAGTCCATGAAAAGGGCATTCTAGTTTAAGCTAGCCGGATCAAAAGGAAGAGTACTTCTGAATAGTAAAGAATAGAAAAGATGCAACATTTCAATTTCTGAGAGTGAGGGAAGAATTTTAGTAAGCGGGGTAGGATATAAATATATATTTTAAACTTAGTGCGAGCCACTGTTTTAGCGAAGTCTGACTCCTATATAACTCTACTACCCGGCCTTTGCCTTTTCAGCCAAGAAAGAGTGGACTTGTAGACAACCCATTGGGGGCTGCACCTCCACAAAACTACAGAGATAAGAGGCTATTCTCTTCTCGAGTAGATAACACTTCGAAAGATCTCCTGGATCCACAGTGAGGTCATGGAAAGTAAAATTCCCTTTATTAGGAAATAAATCTGCATAGTTAATTAAAATAGAAATCCAGACTTAAAGATCCCCTCTCTCCAACTACATCCTGAGATAGTTGGTTGTCCATTTTATACTGAAAGGAGAGTAAAGATTAAAGAATGGTATAAGAAAATGTTGTCTGCAAATCAGACAATTTTGTGGCTGAAAATTTTAGGTGATGGTCGTTCCTTAAACTTAACGATGTAAGCTAATGGGTTAATATTAAAAGTGCTGAGCATTCAAAGTTCAAGCAGACTGTTAGGTTCTCAGCTCATCTGCAATTCAGGGTAGATACCAAAGTTTGAATCTAGGGTCCTGCTGGGATCAATGGCACAATTTCGCTTAATTTCAAAAGGTCTCACCTTCTTTTTGTAAAATCTCGATCATGGTGTTGAAAGTTTCCACATGAAGTCGTGTGTACAACACGAGGACTTACAGATGCCTAATCAGGACCTTGGTGCCTGTTGTGATAGTCTTCCAAGGACATACATGTGGATGTAGGGAGTTTTTTGTGCTCCCTCCTTAAATCTGAAAATAAGAGCCTGACCTAAAACTCAGCAAAACAACAGATAAAGCTCTGGGCTGAATTACTTGGCTAGAAATGTTTAGACAATGGAGCAATTCACTTGGTTTGAACTTTTCTATAAGTGCTTTTCAATTATATCTTCCTATTTTCTGATAAATAGCTTTTGAAAAGTGCTTAGATCTCTGCATTCCTTTCAGTGGGAACGGAGGGAGCTTAGCACATTTCAGCATGTTGCCCTGAAAAATATACTATTAATTTCATGAAACCTATGTCTGTCTTGTGCAACACTTGACAAGGTTAAACCTGCATGTTTAGAAGTTAGAAAGCTGTATGACCTTCCACAAGCCCTGGACTCCTAATCCACTTAGTAGCTCTTCAAATTTTACGTTCGGTTTCCTGCTACCTTCTTCATGCTTCCCCTCATGCCTCCTCCAGCTTTTCACCTCTGTAGTGAAGACTCTGTCCTCTCTCATTGAGTACTGTTTCCCAGCCTGTGATCCACATCCTCACAAAAAGATGGTCAGAGACAGGAAAGCAATAAACTTTTATTCCCTAGAAGGAGTGGACATCAATAAGATCAATATACTTTCCAATCTCCTCTCTCACTCAGCAGATAAGACTTGCAAGAAAATTGGCTTCTTTTGAAATGTGAAAGAAAAATGTTAGGGAAAGCAGTTTGACACTGCTGTAGTGGCAGGGAGGATGATTACTTGCAAGGGGTCAAATTTTTAATGCAAAATAACTATATTGGACAGGATGAAAATCCATGCAAAACAACCTTTTGTCGAGTCTTCACTGAAGAATAGATCCGTGTTGAAGGGAGCGTTTAAGGGTTTATAGGAGCACATCTCCTATACTGCCTCAGTCTTACGAGGTTTACTTTGTCCCAGTATAACTGCCAGGTGACTTTGTCTCATATGCAGTCAGTTTATAGAATCATTTGAGCAGACAGACACCTCTTGTGATGTATCACGTCATAATTTTTCCTATGCATTGTAGAAAGATTGAGCTTATTATTCTCAGAACTCTCCTTAACGTATGATCGGGCAGCATTAGCAGCTTGCTCCCTTGTGCCAGCACCAAGGCCCATTTCTGAGGACCCCTTGGAAACTTCCAGCAGCAGATGCAAATCCAAATGTTACAAATTGAGTCATTTGGTATTTTGTAATCAGTCTCTGCTGCACTCTGTTATTTCTTATTGTCTTGTTGACTAAGGAGGAAAATTAATCCCTATGCAGTTTGTAACATCCTGTTTAAGTATTTGTAGGCATTTGTTGTCTTCCCTTAATCTTTTTCTAATCTGAGCAGATTCAGTTCTTTCAACTTTCCCTAATGGGGCTTCTTTTTAATTATTTTTAATCAGTTTGTTACTGTCCTTCAGGGGAAGCTTCGTTTCCGAGTTAAAGACAACTCGGACAGTGCCCTGTCTCTAGAAAGGCTTTCATCTTTGTGTGGAATGTGCTTTCTGCAGCTGGAGCCCTGTGACACTGCATGCAAAACTGTCCACTGCAGCCTCAGTTTTATGTGCCTGGTTTCTCCACTCCCCTGCATCTAAGCAATCGTATATATAAATTAAAACAGAGTATAGAGCAAGCAACTGCAAGGTATTGCATTGGGCTATTCACACTGCT